GACGATGTCCCTACAGCAAGCAGGTCAATCTCCCACGATTTAGATGTCGTAGCATAGAACACCATGAGATTAGACGTACCTATGACTAGTACAATGAGATCAGATGCACCCGCTTTTCGCCCGACATTCAGTGCACCACCATCTGAACAATACTTATCAACAAAGCAGGCTCCTACACGCAGGCGAGACCCCTCTCCAACGAGCGAGCCAGACATCGTAGACTACTATGATCCGAAAATGTTTCAAACCAGACGTATGACTCGATCAATGTCTATGTACTACCACCCGAAGATTTACCCTAAGGAATACCCTTGAGTCCCTTTCATTAGTTTTTGTTCGTGTCTTGTTTACTGTGATTGCATTTTATCTTCAAATATTTGTTACAATTTACATTTGCTGGAGGTCAGGTCCATGCCCCCCTCCTCTATTTGTTTTCCCGCTTTTCATTATATAAAATAAACCACACTAGTGGTATTTGCTTTAAAAAAAAAAAAAAAAAACCCAAACCCTGAACCCTAAACCCTAAACCAAAACAAAACCCAAACCCTAAACCACACTTTCTCTCTCTAGCCCAAAACGCTCTCCCTTCTCTCTAGAATGGGAGACAAATCACAAACCTTCCAAAATCTTGTTCCACCTCCCGACATACCACCTTTACCAGGTAGATTTCAACCCCGAACCACCAAAAATCTTTCAGCACTCCAAGCCATAATGGTTTTGAAAGCAATAGAATCAGATTTATATGAAAAAGTTGATGGTACGAATCCCAATGTTGTCAAAACTCCGCGCTACGCATTGAATCAGGGTCTGGGACCATCACCAATGATTCCAGAAGGGCCAAAATCCCTAAACCCCAAACCCTATACCCAAAAACTAAACCAAACCCTAAACCGAACTTTCTCTCTCTAGCCCAAAACGCTCTCCCTTCTCTCTAGAATGGGAGACAAATCAGAAACCTTCAAAAATCTTGATCCAACCTTTACCCGGTGGATTTCAACCCCAAACGACCAAAAATCTTCCAGCACTCCAAGCCACAATGATTTTGGAAGCAATAGAATCAGATTTATATGAAAAAGTTGATGGCACGAATCCCAATGTTGTCAATACTCCACTCTACGCATTGAATCAGGGTCTGGGACCATCACCAATGATTCCAGAAGGGCCAAAAACCTTAAACCCGAGACCCTGAACCCTAATCAAACACGAAACCGCACTTTCTCTCTCTAGCCCAAAACACTCTCCCTTCTCTCTAAAATGGGAGACAAATCACAATCCTTCAAAAATCTTGATCCGCCGCCCGACATATTACCTTTACTCGGTGGATTTCAACCCCAAACAACCCAAAATCTTCCAGCACTTCAAGCTACAATGGTTTTGGAAGCAATAGAATCAGATTTATATGAAAATGTTGATGGCACGGATCCCAATGTTGTCAAAACTCTAGTATACGCATTGAATCAGGGTCTGGGACCATCACCAATGATTCCAGAAGGGCCGAAGTCCCTAAACCCTAAACCATAAACCCCAAACCCTAAACCCCAAACCCTGAACCCTAAACCAAAACCAAAACCAAACCCAAACCCAAACCCAAACCCAAACCCTAAACCACACTTTCTCTCTCTAGCCCAAAACGCTCTCCCTTCTCTCTAGAATGGGAGACAAATCACAAACCTTCCAAAATCCTGATCCACCACCATACATACCACCTTTACCCTGTGGATTTCAACCCCAAACAACCCAAAATCTTCCAGCACTTCAGGCTGCAATGGTTTTGGAAGCAATAGAATCAGATTTATATGAAATATTGTTGGCAAGAATCCCAACGTTATCAAAACTCCACTCTACACATTGAATCAGGGTCTGGGACCATTACCAATGATTCCAGAAGGGCCAAAATCCCTAAACCCCAAACCCCAAACCCTAAACCAAAACTAAACCCTAAACCGCACTTTCGCTCTCTAGCCCAAAACGCTCACCATTCTCTCTAAAATGGGAGTCAAATCACAAACCTTCAAAAATCTTGATCCACCAGCCGACATACCACCTTTACCCGGTGGATTTCAACCCCAAACAACCCAAAATCTTCCAGCACTTAATGCTACAATGGTTTTGGAAGCAATAGAATCAAATTTATATGAAATATTGTTGGCAAGAATCCTTACGTTATCAAAACTCCACTCTACACATTGAATCAGGGTCTGGGACCATTACCAATGATTCCAGAAGGGCCGAAATCCCTAAACCCCAGCCCCAAACCCTAAACCCTAAACCAAAACCAAACCCTAAACCGCACTTTCGCTCTCTAGCCCAAAACGCTCTCCCTTCTCTCTAAAATGGGAGTCAAATCACAAACCTTCAAAAATCTTGATCCTCCACCCGACATACCACCTTTACCCGGTGGATTTCAACCCCAAACAACCCAAAATCTTCCAGCACTTCAAGCTACAGTGATTTTGGAAGCAATAGAATCAGATTTATATGAAAATGTTGTTGGCACGAATCCCAATGTTGTCAAAACTCCACTCTACGCATTGAATCAGGGTCTGGGACCATCACCAATGATTCCAGAAGGGCCAAAATCCCTAAACCCCAAACCCCAAACCCAAAAACAAAACCAAACCCTAAACCGCACTTTCTCTCTCTAGCCCAAAACGCTCTCCCTTCTCTCTAGAATGGGAGACAAATCACAAACCTTCAAAAATCTCGATCCAACCTTTACCCGGTGGATTTCAACCCCCAACGACCAAAAATCTTCCAGCACTCCAAGCCACAATGATTTTGGAAGCAATAGAATCAGATTTATATGAAAAAGTTGATGGCACGAATCCCAATGTTGTCAATACTCCACTCTACGCATTGAATCAGGGTCTGGGACCATCACCAATGATTCCAGAAGGGCCAAAAACCTTAAACCCGAGACCCTGAACCCTAATCAAACACGAAATCGTACTTTCTCTCTCTAGCCCAAAACACTCTCCCTTCTCTCTAAAATGGGAGACAAATCACAATCCTTCAAAAATCTTGATCCACCACCCGACATACCACACTTACCAGGTGGATTTCAACCCCAAACAACCCAAAATCTTCGAGCACTTCAAGCTACAATTGTTTTGGAAGCAACAGAATCAGATTTATATGAAAATGTTTCTGGCACGAATCCCAATGTTGTCCAAACTCCACTCTACGCATTGAATCAGGGCCAGGGACCATCACCAATGTTTCCAGAAGGGCCGAAGTCCCTAAACCCTAAGCCATAAACCCTAAACCCAAAACCCTAAACCAAAACCAAACCCTAAACCGCACTTTCTCTCTCTAGCCCAAAACGCTCTCCCTTCTCTCTAAAATGGGAGACAAATCACAAACCTTCAAAAATCTTGATCCACCATCCGACATACCACCTTTACCCGGTGGATTCAACCCCAAACAACCCAAAATCTTCCGGCACTTCAAGCTACAATGGTTTTGGAAGTAATAGAATCAGATTTATATGAAAATGTCGATGACACAAATCCTAATGTTGTCAAAACTCTACCCTACGCATTGAATCAGGGTCTGGGACCATCACCAATGATTCCAGTAGGGCCGAAATCCCTAAACCCTAAACCCCAAACCCCAAACCCTAAACAAAAACCAAAACCAAACCTAAACCCTAAACCCTAAACCCTAAAGTCCCTAAACCCTAAGCCATAAACCCCAAACCCTAAACCCTAAACCAAAACCAAGAGGGAGTGAAAATTGAAAAGACGAAAAGATGGCGTTGCTGCCCTCTCGGAGCGAGGTCCTCTCACTCTTCCGGTCATTTCTCAGGACGGCGCGTGAATACACAGACTATAACATGAGGAAGTATGTCAAGCGCCGCACAATCGATGCCTTCCGCCACAATTATCACCTCTCGGACCCGTCGGCGACGGTCGCAGCCTTCACCGATGGAAAGTCACATCTCGGCGTGGCTAAGCGACAGGCCGTCGTCTACTCACTTTACGCGCCTAGGGTGACGAGCGTCATGGAAATCAATCACCCGTGAATCATTAATTTCATAAATTTCATTCAAAGCAGGGAATTGGTGAAAGAACCGGGCGACATGAAGAAATTGAGGAGTAGCATCTTTACCTTGAGAAGACAGGTGAACGAAATTTATAATGTATTGGATAGATTGAAATACAACGGCTTTTTCATGAGAATACATAAACATGTAATGAATTATTCTGCTTGCTGATTTCAGAAATAATTTTATTAGAGCTGGTTCTGGGTTTTAAAAAAAAAAACCCTAAACCAAAACCAAACCCTAAACCGCACTTTCTCTCTCTAGCCCAAAACGCTCTCCCTTCTCTCTAAAATGGGAGACAAATCACAAACCTTCAAAAATCTTGATCCACCATCCGACATACCACCTTTACCCGGTGGATTTCAACCCCAAACAACCCAAAATCTTCCGACACTTCAAGCTACAGTGGTTTTGGAAGCAATAGAATCAGATTTATATGAAAATGTTGATGACACGAATCCCAAAGTTGTCAAAACTCCACTCTACACATTGAATCAGGGTCTGGGACCATCACCAATGATTCCAGAAGGGCCGAAATCCCTAAACCCCAAACCCCAAACCCTAAACAAAAGCCAAAACCAAACCTAAATCGCACTTTCTCTCTCTAGCCCAAAACGCTCTCCCTTCTCTCTAGAATGGGAGACAAATCACAAACCTTCAAAAATCTTGATCCACCTCCCGACATACCACCTTTACCCAGTGGATTTCAACCCTGAACAAGTAAAAATATTCCAGCACTCCAAGCCACAATGGTTTTGGAAGCAATAGAAACAGATTTATATGAAAAAGTTGATGGCACGAATCCCAATGTTGTCAAAACTCCACTCTACGCATTGAATCAGGGCCTGGGACCATCACCAATGATTCCAGAAGGGCCAAAAACCCTAAACCAATACCAAACCCTAAACTGCACTTTCTCTCTCTAGCCCAAAATGCTCTCCCTTCTCTCTGAAATGGGAGACAAATCACAAACCTTCAAAAATCTCGATCCACCACCCAACATACCACCTTTATCCGATGGATTTCAACCCCAAACAACCAAAAATCTTCCAGCAGTCCAAGCCAAAATGGTTTTGGAAGCAATAGAATCAGATTTATATGAAAAAGTTGATGGCACGAATCCCAATGTTTTCAAAACTCCACTCTACGCATTGAATCAGGGTCTGGGACCATCACCAATGATTCCAGAAGGGCCGAGATCCCTAAACCCCAAACCCCAAACCCCAAACCCTAAACCGCACTTTCTCTCTCTAGCCCAAAACGCTCTCCCTTCTCTCTAAAATGGGAGACAAATCACAAACCATCAAAAATCTTGATCCACCACCCGACATACCACCTTTACCCGGTGGATTTCAACCCCAAACAACCAAAAATCTTCCAGCACTCCAAGCCACAATGGTTTTGGAAGCAATAGAATCAGATTTATATGAAAAAGTTGATGGCACGAATCCCAATGTTGTCAAAACTCCACTCTACGCATTGAATCAGGGTCTGGGACCATCACCATTGATTCCAGAAGGGCCGTAATCCCTAAACCCCAAACCCTAAACCGCACTTTCTCTCTCAAGCCCAAAACGCTCTCCCTTCTCTCTAAAATGGGAGACAAATCACAAACCATCAAAAATCTTGATCCACCACCCGACATACAACCTTTACCCTGTGGATTTCGACCCCAAACAACCCAAAATCTTCCAGCACTTCAAGCTACTATGGTTTTGGAAGCAATAGAATCAGATTTATACGAAAATGTTGTTGGCAAGAATCCTAATGTTACCAAAACTCCATTCTACACATTGAATCAGGATGTGGGACCATCACCAATGATTCCAGAAGTGCCGAGATCCCTAAACCCCAAACCCCAAACCCTAAACCCTAAACCAAAACCAAACCCTAAACCACACTTTCTCTCTCTAGCCCAAAACGCTCTCCCTTCTCTCTAAAATGGGAGACAAATCACAAACCTTCAAAAATCTTGATCCACCACCCGACGTACCACCTTTACCCGGTGGATTCAACCCCAAACAACCCAAAATCTTCTGGCACTTCAAGCTACAGTGGTTTTGGAAGTAATAGAATCAGATTTATATGAAAATGTTGATGGCACAAATCCCAATGTTGTCAAGGCTGCACTCTATGCATTGAATCAGTATCTGGGACCATCACCAATGATTCCAGAAGGGCCAAAATCCCTAAACCCCAAACCCCAAACCCCAAACCCTAAACCCTAAACTAAAACCAAACCATAAACCGCACTTTCTCTCTCTAGCCCAAAACGCTCTCCCTTCTCTCTAGAATGGGAGACAAATCACACACCTTCAAAAATCTTGATCCACCACCCGACATACCACCTTTACCCGATGGATTTCAACCCCGAACAACCTAAAATCTTCCAGCACTTCAAGCCACAATGGTTTTCGAAGCAATAGAATCAGATTTATATGAAAAAGTTAATGGCACGAATCCAAATATTGTCAAAACTCCACCCTACGCATTGAATCAGAGTCTGGGACCATCACCAATGATTCCAGAAGGGCCGAAAACCCTAAACCCTAAACCCTAAACCCTAGGCCCAAAACCAAAACCAAAACCAAAACCAAGTTTCAACTTTCAATTTTTGGAATCCTAGCTAGTACATACTCCACACATCGAGCAACCATGAAGCTCGTCAGATTTTTGATGAAGTTGAACAACGAGACCGTCTCAATTGAACTCAAGAACTGCACTATTGTTCATGGAACTATTACAGGAGTAGATGTTAGCATGAACACACATTTGAAGACAGTGAAACTGACACTGAAAGGGAACCCGACATACCAACTTTACCCAATGGATTTCGACCCCAAACAACTAAAAATCACCCAGCACTCCAAGCCATAATGGTTTTGGAAGCAATAGAATCAGATTTATATGAAAACGTTGATGGCACAAATCCCAATGTTTTCAAAACTCCACCCTACGCATTGAATCAGGGTCTTGGACCATCACCAATGATTCCAGAAAGGTCGAAATCCCTAAACCCCAAACCCTAAACCAAAACCAAACCTTAAACCGCACTTTCTCTCTCTAGCCCAAAACGCTCTCCCTTCTCTCTAAAATGGGAGACAAATCACAAACCTTCACAAATCTT